GAGAGCAAGAATGAGTTTTCACATCATACAACTATATACATACATGTAATATCATACCCTAGAATTTAGATTACCTACGTCTTTGCTTCGGAAGAAGAGCAATGTCGTAGTTCATAATCTTGATATCAATTCTTTTTCTCAAATTTCTTTTACTGAGCCACAAAAAAAGAGTATACAAATGATAGGATATTTTGAAAATATAACATTTTTACAGTTGTGGCCAAAGAAACGGTTTAACATTAATTGCATTTATATTGATTAATAGAACATTTTATGCATTATGTTCGTCTACCCCTGTCTTTATCGGAGAAAACCAAATATATTAAAGTTTTAAGATGTTTCATGGGAGACCTTTATCAGGGAAAACATTTACGAAACAGAAAATATATAGTTAAAGACAAAAATTCTGATAGTTTTAGGTTAACGGATTTTTAAAACAGGACCTCACCGATTTGAATTCATTTATTGTAGTAATGAGGTACATGCATGACCATCGTTTTATCGATTCCTTATCAAAATTCGTCTTTTGAATACTAGTAAGGAACAAAACCTTCTTGGAGCAATATTCCTTTAGATAACGGATGCTTTATATCTTAAATATAACTATGTATATAAGAGCTTTGAAGTTTTTTCAACGCTTGCGAAATTAACTTGTTACCAAAGTGTATAAAAAAGGAAACAGAAAAAATTCCACAATTTACGCAAGTATTTAACGTTCCTTGCTACCCTTAATAGACCTTATCGCTATTAGACTGGTTCTCCTGTCTAGATAAATGTGCATATTACATATTTCATATATAGAACAAGGTGATTATACATAGCGGGATCCCAGTCTATTATCGCTATTTGGGAATCTGCAACACTTGACCCGAGAATCTGCGACACTTGAACTATTGACGTCATACAACAATCACTTTTCCTTTGTGGCGTCAGACATTTTCAATTTTACGGGAACTGTTGGGATGTCCAGTAATGGCGTACAAATAGCGATAAGGTGTATACATATCTTTTACTAACAATTTTGTCTGACGTTATAATAACATAAAACAATATATAAAATGTTATTTCTCCTAGTCCTTAGATTTGAGCTGTCGGTATCTTGTTCACTAGCTATTACCGATTTTCGCCTGATATACAATATAACATTTATTTTGGGGGTATGAACATCATTTCACTATTTAAAATTTTAAGCAAGAATGCATTGTTCCTTTGGCTTTCCTAATTAAAAATTTCTTCATGGCGCAAGATCATAATATGATATGAAGTAGATGTACGAAATCTATTTTTAAGTACGACCCATTCGGCACATCTCGGCAGATATAACATAGGGTATCGGAAACTGCCTAGCTTTGCCGATTGAAATACTACCGACGTAGACTGGTTCCCTGTCCTTTGTCTGTTTGGCTCCGACATATTTTTGAGATACCCGTATGTTGCAAGGTAGAGGACCAGCCTACTACCAACGATGTTAGAGTGCAAGACGAGTGGTTTGATATCTGCAGGTATAGATCACTTTGAGAGGGGTTTCAGTAACTACTAGCATTCTTTTATATGATACCATTTAAGTTTCATTTTCTTTGAACATGTGATTTTGTTATTCGTTAAACAGTAATTATTATATAAATCAGTGCTTTTGGTGTTCTAATTTTTCCTGTTTGATCTTTAATGCACCTTTTGTTAGTCCAAAAAGTGAGGTATTGAGATCTCGAAAAAAAAGTCAAATCCCACAAGATTACTCCGCCAGTGGGTGTCTATCGTTATTTCGGGAATTTTGAGTTGGTAGTAAATACAATCGGGGATATTCCTTGTTATATTTATTCAGAACTGTTTTAGCCCTAACCGTTTTTGACGGAACTGCCGTCTGGCGTACCAAGTCTAGTCTAATGAGTCATTAAGTCTTCATTAGCCTAATGCATCATAAAGACTTAATGAAGACTTAATGACCCATTAGGCTAATGTCACGTTCGAGTAAAGACTTGTCAGGCTGTAGTGGTCATCATTTCTTTTAACTTTGTTTTATAATTTATTGACCTAAACTCACATTTCATTTTTATTTATATTTCTTGCTTTTAATGCTGAACAATGCAAACAATGAGATAAATACATCTTTAGTGGGGCTGCAAAATTACTTCAAAAAGATTTATCTAGTTTAGTACAATGGGAAGAGGACTGGCAAATGAATTTTAATCCTGAGAAGTGTTATGTTATTCATATTTCTAAAAAAAGTAAACCTTCCACTTTTGATTATATATTGCACAATCATGTTTTAGAAGCAGTAAAAGACAGTAAATATTTAGGCGTAACTATAAGCCATGATCTTGATTGGGGAACACATATAAACAATATTACCTGTAAGGCAAATAAAACCTTAGGTTTTCTTCGTAGGAACTTAAAAAACTGCACACGTAAGGTTAAAAACCTTACGTACACATCACTTGTCCGTCCAGTCGTCGAATACTCTTCCCCTGTATGGGATCCGTACAAAAAGCAACACATCACTCAGGTTGAGCAGGTACAGCGTAAGGCAGCCAGGTTTGTCTTCAATGATTATAAAGACAGATCACCTGGAGCAGTTTCAAATTTAATTAAATCATTAGAATGGGAAAATTTAGAAATAAGAAGGAAAAAAGCTAGATTAACTATGCTATATAAAATAAATTGGGGGTTAGTGGAAGTTCCTAAGGACAATTTAACAATATCTGATAGACGTACTAGGGGGAAACATAAATTTAGGCAAATATCAACAAATAAAGATTTCTATAAATTTTCTTTTTATCCTCGCACTATTTCGGACTGGAACTCACTACCTGAAGTAATAGGTATGTCTGACACCCTGGAATCCTTCAAAAGTGGCATATCCACTCTAACATTTGAAGGATCCACAACAACTTATTAAACTACAAAGCCACTGTACATAATGTATATATGTTATTGTTAATGATTTTTCTTTGTCATATTATTTTTAAATTAAGTCCATATGTACATAGCACACAAGTTCCGGGAAGTTTTACACTCCTACCTAGGAGTCTACTCCCGTATTCGGAAGAAGAAGAAGCAAAAGTACAATATACATGCGCGGATTTTTTTTAGCAAAACATGCAATCTACAAAATAGCCTTTGTCTTAGATACTAGTACATGATTTTTTAGTAGTCGTTATTTAATTGGACTACCTTTCAGTAACTTCGGGTACTCTCAGATCGGTACTTTCTGTCTTTAGTATTTTTGTTAGCTGTTCGTTTTTCTTTGTATCGATTTAATAAGTCAAACCTATTTCAACTGATTTGTATAGCTTTTTCTTATGTTAATTTTATGCAGTTACACCACTGCCTCAAGTTAGGGTGAGGGTTTGGCGGTCAAAACATGTTAACCCCGTCACATTCTATATATGTCTATCCAAAGTCAGGAGCCTGTAGTTGAGTGGTTGTCATTTTTTGATCTATCATATATAATATTTTTTTTTACATAAATCAGGCCGTTGAAATTTGAGATGTTGTACAATTTGTTATTTCGTGGCCTTTTATAGCTTGCTATGCGGTATGTGATTTTGTTGAAAGGCCCTACGGCGTCCTGTAGATGCTAATTTCTACGCCCACTTATCCTCTCATTGTCTCATTGCCTCATTGGCAATCATACCACATATCCTTATTTATATTTTATAGTTATCTTGTATGACATACAATGATAAAATTTTGACGGAACACTCTTAAGCTGAGCATGACGCAAACTGTGTATCCTTTGTCTGTATTGGACGAACGGACAGAGTGAAGTTGCTAAAATACCAAATCTCGCCGCTGGTGATGTAGGTGTAGGCAATGTAGGTAAAATTAAGTGAGTAGTTTTTGTGTTTCATCCAGGAGAGTTGAGGATTGACAAATGGTTGTGTGACTAGGCAGACAGAAGAAAAACCTAATAATTCTTCAAGAAACGCATTCATCATAAACCTTCTGATAAAACGGGGAAAACCAAATATTGTTACTCCTTAAGAGTTTTTTTTGTGCTAAAAATGTTGAAAAAATATATAGAATGTGTACTAGTAAATGAGGAACACAAAATTTCAAATACCCAATCCCATCGCTTAAAACATATCTTGCATTTTCAGGAATACAGAATATTAGGAATACCAATCACGACGAACATAACGAAAAAATATTTTATTTTTTTGTAAGTTGCTAATTTTGACTCTCACATTCATCAACCTGAAAAAAAAAAAATGCAAAATTGAAATATATTTACTTGTTAAATCCCGTAGCAAATTTGATTTCATTCGATTTGATTTTAAATTCGAGATATAAATACAATGGGGTTTTTCATTTTCGTTTTAATAGTATCTTGAACTATAAATACTTATCCAAGTAAAAAGTTGTTCGGCAAACTCATTACGATATGTTACTTATAACTTTTAGATCATATAGCTCTAGACGTGTCTATGTATCTATACATCCCTGGCGTTTTGGTGTTACCGATCTTGATGAAAGTAAATCAAGAAAAGCGCTTCGGACGCACGAAATTATTAAAGTAATATTTTCAATTAAAAGATCAGTTATCATCGTTTTAAACTCCTTTTCTTGATAAAAAAAAAACCTCAAAAGTTACAATGTTATGCACGTTCGTGCACCCTTAATATGAACAACGTTATGTGCAGTTAAAATCATATTAGCTCTTATTTTTACAAATATGAATATATGAATCTAAATCAAGGGTCCGTGACCGGTACATAAAATTAATTTCTATTTATGGACAGAATTTGACGTAATTGCTCTATAACAATGCAATGTGACATATTTCGCAGGCGGAAAAAGAAATTATTTTTTCAAAGATCAAGAAGTCCATCTTTATGAATAGTATTTTTCGGTTGTTTGGTCAATTTTTATGTTCCTTTTAAGTTTAATGATCTAAGAGTTCCTCTTTTAATGTCCGTTTCTGTGTTCATTTTTTTTGTTGGTAAAACGGTTACTGTTCTAATCTCATTCTATATATTTGTATCAATACTGTACCTTTCAGATCGTCACAACTGTAATTGCATTTACTTTTCCAAATACTGGCGGGCCTATTGGAAGCTCATGCGTGCCATCTTTGTTAATTTTCATGACACCACTAAAGAAACAATAATAAAATATGATGCAGATGTACACATGATAGGAAGAGATCACGTGACAGTACCAAACTAAGTCAATGAATGTCATACACAAGGACAAAGGAAAAAGACGTGACCATTATCTTACAAAATACATCAGAAAAAAAAATCGAACAGAAGAACCCACCAAAAAAAAATTGATGGAGAAAACGATAGAGATAGCTTCAGCCTTGGATACACAGTTTATTATCCTTAGTTGTTATCAAAACTAGATGAGGATGATGAAGTGGAGGAGGAGGAGAAGGAGGAAGAGGAGTATGCAGGACTGTAGCTACGACAGTGTCTCATATATCAAGTTCCATTATATTAAGGCGACTACAGTTTAACGATGTTCAATAAGTTTATTAGACAGTCATGATGGCTTCTGTAAAGCATTGCTTGATTAATTTTTTGGTGGTAAAGTCCACTTTAAGCACATTTGGCTACATAATGGCCCCAAGTTTGTATTTAAGGAAGAAGGCGGAACCCCCGACCTTCGACAGTAACATCGGAGTCGAATGCACAGTCGGAAGGGGCACGATCTCTCAACCTCATTCATATCAGTGTTGACAGACTAGTGACCAATTAAGATGAACAACTTAGGCCAATCGGTTTTCGAGAAATTGCTTCCGATAAAAATCTTAACATAATATAAAAATAATTGCATTGAGTCATACACTCTAAAACTTTAAAATTCATAGCGAAAAACAGTCAGTTTATTGTATATGTATAGACTGTAAATATTACCGATCTTCATTATTTTATGTAGAAAATTATGTTTCCTTGATGATTTTATAAATTATAAGTTACGACCTGCAAGTATTGCTTTGCGTGATAACGTGCAATTTCTAGTATTTTTTTCTAATTTTTCTCACACCTCAATAAAAGTATTGATAGTTGCAATTCCTATATGTTTTATTTGTTTTATGATAAACCTCAATACATGTTTTACTTTAGAAATATTGTATGCTCTCAAATCAATGTCTGTGATGTTCACTATTTAACGGCGGACAAATATCGATAAGAGGAGGTCTAGATGGGGTTTACAGAATAGGGAATAATGGGTCAAACATATTACGCATAGAGAATAACGAGCAAAAATTATAAAGCAAAGAGAATAATAGGCAAAAGAAAGAATAGAGAAAAATGATATAAAAAAAAAGAATAAAGAAATGAAAGTCCCCCCAATCCAGACCCTCACAAGGTGTATTGATTACGGTTTCAGTAGAAAAAAAAACTTACTCTTTGTTCCAATCTGAGAAATATATGTATGTACCATCGACATCTATACCATAGAAATGTGCACCAGCGTCTTCAAACACAACCTTTCTTTGTGATCCGTCTGTGTTCATAGATTCTATTTTGTTTGTTCCAGCATCACAGAAAATAAGTTTTCCCGCTAAAATTTGAAAAAGAAATTCCGAAACATGCAAAGGAATGAGAAAATAATATTATCAGTGGCGGATCCAGAACTTTTCATAAGGGGGCCCGCTCCAGTCATGCTTCAATGATTCCCTATATAATCAACCAAATTTTTCCCACGAAAGGGGGGCCCGGGCCCCCCAGGCCCCCCCCCCCTGAATCCGCCTATGATTATTTAAAGTAATACTTTATATTATATTGTCTTACAGAAACAAATTAAATCATCGTGGTATATGACGTTCTCTAATGAAATTTTACAAAACAGTCAAATTTTATATATTGTATTTAAAAGTGTCATCAGCAGTAATGTATATCAGGATTACATTTTGATTTATGGAATATTTGTGAAATTATTGATTAATATTTCAAATAAATTACATAAACTCTTTACTTGTGGATGCTATTGGCGTTTTTCGTGTAGCTGTGTTTCTGTTGGCTTGGTATATCGTCAACATCTCTTTTTATTCATATAAAGACGTAGCTGAATGCATTTATAAGAGAAATATAGATGGAGAATCACGTATAAGGTTAAAGACACACGAACAACATCCTCTAAACCTACTTGAAGTATCCAACACAATTCCATTAGGATATTTCAATGTATCATTAGCAAGAACCATTCTGCCAGTACCGTCATAGTTCACTTTTTCAATCTTAGGACTAGAGCCCCAATCAGTCCAGTAGATCACCCTGAAAATAAAAAATTCTCATATATTTGTTGCTTGCGAATAGATATAAGAAGATGTGGTATGAGTGCCAATGAGACAACTCTCCATCCAAGTCAAAATTTATAAAAGTAAACCATTATAGGTCAAAGTACGGTCTTCAACACGGAGCCTTGGCTCACACCGAACAGTAAGCTATAAAGAGCCCCAAAAATTACAAGTGTAAAACCATTCAAACGGGAAAACCAACGGTCTAATCTATATAAAAAACGAGAAACGAGAAACACTTATGAACCACATCAACAAACGACGACTACTGAACATCAGATTCCTGACTTAGGACAGGTGCAAACAATTGCAGCGGGCTTAAACGTTTTAATGGTACCAACCCTTCACCCTTTTTCTGAAACAAAAGTCTTTTTGTTTGGATTCATCTTCATCAGGAACGCGCAAACTCTCAAAAAATTGAAATCTAAGAATGTAGAACTACTTGAATACTTCAGAAGCTATATAACAGAAAGGGACCTTATCATAGAAACAGAACAGCCATCTAAGGTTAATTTTGCTGGAAAAAATTGAAATTATAATTATTGTTATGTATATATATATATAGATTACTTTTTTAGTTTTGAGTGAGTTTTGTAAGTCTACTCAGTGCATACCCTCAAATGAGGGTCTGGATTGGGGTCTCTCATGTCTGAATTCGTTAATATTTTGATCATTTTTCTCAATTTTTTATTTTTTTTGGCCTATTTTTTTGAAGTATTGGACCATTATTCTCTATGTTGTAAACCCCATCCTCATTAGGCGTAGTTTGTTTCCCACAAAAAGATCAGTCTACAATATGATAAGATGAGAATAATTCACATAAGGTGAGGCATGCGTCCCATACAAGAAAGCAACTAACGTCTTTTGGTCAGTCACGTAATTGTGTAAAAACAAAGTATATAGGATGTTAGCTTCGGGTTTTAAATAAACATTTGTATGATTTTGAAATATTTTATCAAAGAATAGAGTACAAGAAATTACATAAAGTATTTTATTTGGTGCAAACGTAATGTCTCTGGATTTTTCATTGCAAATATGTGAAGATATTTCCCCGTAGACGTTTGACGTTTTAAGTTAAACAAAGGGGCAAAACACGAAGATATTTGCAGGATTTAGATGCTGGACAATATTTTGAATCCCTTACTCAAGAAAATTCCCATGAAGTAGCAAAATTTAACGAAAAGTTGAAAATGTGAACATAAATCAAACTTGAAACAATTGTTTCTCTTACTGGTTTTGTGTATCAAGTGTGATACCACGTGGGTTGTGAACATCTGTCGTTGTTACATTTGTCAGAGTGAGGCTACCAAGGTCAAGGTAAGCTACAAGTTCATTACCATAATCAGTATAATACAAACGTTGCCTGGTAGAATCAACAGCAATACCGTCTGGAGTGGCAGCTAGAAAAAGTATATAACTAGTTGGAAATAATCAGTTTTATAATATAGACATTAAGGTGGTATCTAACACTACAGGGAGATAACTCTGTAAAAATCAGCTAAACGTTTTAATCACGTTGTATTGTTAAGGAAATATTAAGCTTCTCAATGATTAAAATTAGTGTTTGTCAAACTGCTATATAACCAATGAAATTTTTCTGATAAAGTGGTTGGTTCAAACTTTTTGAAATTTTTATATTTTTGTCAAAGGGTCAAAGTAAACATTTTATCAAAATTTTATGAAAATTAAACGAGCCAAATTAATATTAGTCGAGGTGTTGGGTACCACCTTAAGAAAATAAGATGAATGAAATGTGATACGTTACCTCATTAGCTCATAGCATGGAAGAAAAGTGATAATTATGCAAAGGTTGACCAAATGCAGCAGACAGGTTGGAAATAACATTGCTCTATGTAATTATTGATTTAAAGGTTTTTTTTTATGAATATATTTTTTATAGTGTAAGTTATGATTCGTTCGAGTGTTAAAATAATGAAAATGTTATCATTTTCTTAATCATTTGTTTTACGATTAAATAATTAACACTTTTTATAATGATATCCAATTTACAAATAGTAACTAAGTATATTATATTAAGTGTGTATGCGCAATTGGGGTCCGCGATGCTTTATCTTTAGTTTTCCATCTTGTAGTCTTTTTTTTTTGCCATGGGGTTGTCAGTTTGTCTTCGATTTATAAGTCTTAATATCGCTTTCGTACCGTCTGCCTCTCTTTTGTAATACCAAAGAAGTATACTTTTATGTCTGTCACAAACGACATTCCCTATCAAATCTTAGTAATCGTGCGTGTTTGCTTGTTATCAATACATTGCAACTGCGAAAAATATGTGTGATCATTAATATTGTTTTTTACCACTTCAAAGTAAAAAATTCGTTTGAGTGTGAGGTACTATTATCTAGTATGTCGTGAGCTCTATGCTATATCTTGATCATTTTTTTTTGTCGTTACAAAATTATACATGTAGTGGCAATAGGATTTTTTGCAAGCGACATACGAACAGAGAAGGGTTTGTAAATGTAATGTATTGCAGGTTTTTCCGTAACATGATTCCCGGGTATGTTATTTTGAACTATTGATTGATTGTTGACGTTTAACTCAACTTTTACCATTATTGGCTATATTGTAGCAGTTAGTTTTTACTGTTGGAGTTAGCAAGCGTACCACGAGAGAACAACTGAACGACGGAAGGGAAGTGGACAATTCTATTCAATTTAAATTGGAGTAGAACGCACCTGCCATGTGCGAGGTTCGAACTTTTATCCTCATTGTTGACTAATCTTATTCCTATATTGCATTAAATGACTGTACCAACACCGTATTTGTTGACACAAAAGTCTGAAATTGTATCGCTGTGTGTGGGCTTTGCTGCAAATGAAATTAAGCAATTGATGTTGCAATTACACTTAAAACCAACCACAAAACCACGCGTATAGTTGAGAGACGTACCAACATTTTGCACGTTTCGCATACAATGATATACTATTCTTGGCAATTCAGTAGGAAATTATGTTAAATCAATAATTCCAGCAATGACTTTATAATATCACTCACCATAACTCAACTGTTTAAGAACCTTCATTCCAGTACCGTCCAAGTTTGTGCTTCTTAACTGTGACAGTTTGACGTCTGAATAAAACACTTTGCGTGTCTTTGTGTCGAAGTCAATTGCCACGGGATTGAAAATGTTTTGATTTGGAATGGCGGAATAACTTCCGGTTTCCATATCCATTCGGTATATCTCTTGCATATATCCGTCAGCCGATAAAATGAAATTATTCAATGCGTTTGGATCTATTAATATAAGATTTACATTAAAAACAACAAATTTAAAAAACATACGCCGGTTATATAAAATAGTAAATATAAATAATGGAAAAACCCAATTAAATGTTTACAAAATGCAATAATTATTCATTTGTAATTTACGAATACGTTATTGTCTTTTATTCTTTTTTTTCTAGTCACCAGATTTCTGTCACATTGACGTATATACAAAATAATATATTGATCAAGAAAGTATTAAGATAGAGATATTTGTAGACTTTGTTTCGCGTATGTTATAAAGTAGAAACAGTACATAATTATGGTAAGACTTTTAATTCGATAGATTTACTCATATGCAGTTAAAGCACTTGAAAACATGGCTCAACTCTCACTATAACGTCAATTTACAGTCTAACTTGCCCTTGATTTCTCAGTGAAATAAAAACCGATAATTTCACATGTGAAATAAATGCGATTATTTCATTCCTTATGTTATGTTTTGAGTCTAAAAATTTTTTCGCATAAAGCACGAACATTTTTTTTTTAGTTTTTCGACGCTATCAATCAAATTATTTTCAAAAAAATTAAAAACTATAAAGTATGGGTAAAATCAGGATTCAGAATATTGTGTTTGTCATCTGCTTGACCACAATATTTTTTTTCAGCAAATTGTGGATCAGAATATTTTTTTAGGAAAAAAACATAACCCCCATCCTTGAAGTTGAATGGTAGTTCCCTTATTAAGGTTTATACATACCATATTGACATTTAACACCAGCGTCTTCGTTGTGGTCACAGTCATGTAGTGCCCATCCTTGTGGAAGCTGACATTGTGCGATATGTGTTTCAGTACCTTTGCAATTAACTTCATCCAAATAGATTGGCACATCATTGTCGGATCCATAAGTTGCATTACCAAAGGCAATGGCATTTTGACTAGGCAAAAAAGGAATATTGGGATTACTTATACTTTAGTTACATACTAGTGTTATTTTTAATACAAATTTGATCTTGGAACAATTGTAAGATTTCATTTAGGATGTTCCCTACTCTATTTCAAAATAAGAAGCTCTTTAAAAGAATGTTTTAAATTAATGGTAACTATACATATAACAGAAATAAAAAAAAAAGCAGAAACAATGCAAGGTTCTAGTCCTTGTGATTGAGATATGAGCCATTAAAAATTTGACTGGAAAAATGATTCTATCTAGATGTTTCATACTACTATCATTGACACCTCTTTTCTCTCAAAAACTATGAACAAATACATGTAACTAGCATTTGATAAGATTTTTAAAAATGGATTTTTGAACTGTATGTAATAAAATCATGAAAAGAAAAGTAGGGGTTAGCGGGAAAATTTTCAATGGTAACGCATGGATAAAAACAGAGGAACCGGAGTATCTGACAAAAAGTCAAAAACAAGACAAGCAAACATCTTTAACTAGTAATTCGATCGCTCCAAACAGAGACGATACTCTCTAGTTCAGACCAAAAGATAAAGAACAAGATATACGATTGTATTTATATCTATCCTAAATCGACCTTTTTTTCAATTTAAACTTTTACAATGTATTAACAAACTAACTTTTTTCCAATGACATACAGTAGGAAGAACTTATATCAATGATGATTTTACTTTTTCACATACCCTTTGAACATCTATCTACTCCCCTCTCCCCTCCCGATAATAAAAATTTGTATGGTCGAGTCCTACATAGACAACCTCATAAGTGCATACATTCCATTTTTAAATCCATATCCTCGTTAGCGCAAAAAGTTGATAAATAGAAGTACTATATTTCATACCTGCTAAATCCCATCATAGAACATATAACGCCTGCATCAGTATTTGTCCATCCGTCATCACAAATAGTTCCCCAAACACCATTGACGTATACCTCAACAAGACCCTCGTTATGTTGCCCAGTTCCAACGAATCGAACAAACATATGGCTTTCATCGATAACTAGTGGTGCGTGTGTCGCTACGCCTTAATGAAACGAACAAAGGTGAATTAATTTAAATCTTGAATATCACTGATAAACAGAATTTGAACTAAAAAAAACCGATTTGATATAGTCAAAATGGACATACTCAGTACGATTTAAGACTTATTCACTGTGGTAAATTGTAAACTGCTTAGATAATTAGGTTGCAGTAAATAAAGATCAGTTATGTCAATTTTTAAGACTGTCCATATATTTGTGATTAAGGATGAAGTTTGATGATTTTCTCAGATATAAATGTTATTTTAATAAGCTTGCAAATGCATGAACCTTTACTGACCTGGAAGTCCATAGCCATATTTATGAACTCTAATATCGGCTAACTCTCGGAATCCTCTTGGGCCGACGGGAGTTGCTCCAGTGCCATCTTTGTTTATTCTCATCACAGTACTGCAAAAATCACTTCACTTATGATTTACGTAATTTTGCCTTTTCAACAAAAAGTTATCAGTCAAATTGTACCACGATACGTGTGGGTCTAATTAAGGGGATATTCATTTCTGTCTTTTTCTCTATTCTTTATTTTTTTGTCAATTAATTTCTATTTTTATGTTTCCACACCCAATTTTTTTTTATTCTTTATTTTCCTCCATTTTTTTTTTCATTTTCCCGCACGAATCTTTAGTATGTGAAACCCGTTTTGATCCTCATATATCAATATGCTGTTATCTTAACCTTTTGAGACACTAGGTGTAAATAAAAAGACAAAGTGTTTTTTTAAACAATTGTTCCCCCTATTACGTCAATGTACTAAAAATAATAACTAATCAAAGAAACCAAATATTGAAAAAATATTCAACTAGTGACCAAACAACAGTAACAATTAACTCTTGCGCCACTCGCACTTGTGAGTGAATGTGTTATTTTGTCACTTGTTGAAGAATACTTTTCGATCCACATCACTCACTGTTTTGTCCAGTCGGTATAGTATATATATTGTTGATAAAGGGAGAGAGCGAAGAAATGAGATCCGGTTTCTGTGTAAATAGTTTGTCTGTTCTCTCCATTGAGTCCCATGACTTCAATCTTGTCTGTTCCAGCGTCAACAAAATACAGTTTGTTTGCTACGTAAAAAATAATCACAATTAGTACAAGTATTTCATTTTTTACCGGTCATCCCACTGTCTGTATCACTCTGCTCATCTCTTAATAAAACTGCATATCACGGCTTTGTGACGTCAAATATGCTGACCCGTCTTAATAACTTTGACCCGGACATATCAGCGACGTCATAATGTATGAACCGACGTTGATAAGTTTGACCGGAACTTATCAAGTCTTCTTCCGGTTTGCTGGTGAAACAAAGAAAACACTTGTTTCTGTTATGCAAAATACGCAAATACAACCCGATAAATCGATTATCTTGTTATCTGCATATTTATATTGTAAAATATCAGCTGCTCGGCACAATATTATAGTGTTATTTACTGGCTGTTTCTGTATTGGCCCTGTTATAGATTAGATGTTAGCTGTATTGGACCCGAGACCCGAAGAGTCGAGGGCCAATACAGCTGATCGAGAATCTATAACAGGGCCAATACAGAAACAGCCAGTTCATAACACTTTTATTAAATGATTTTAATTATTCGATTAAACTAAGAAACTTACCGTGAAGAAGATATCTGAACTTGTCTTTTCGCATTCACGATGGATTTTTTGTCAACTTGTCAGATGTAATTTTTGATTTCTCGTCCAAGTACTTAATCTTATGCTATTACAATTCATTTTATCTAGCAAATATAAAGTAGCTGGGAAGAATAAATCAGACAGGTTAACTTTTCTTACTCTTGAATCGTCTGCGTTCTAGTGATTGATCAACGGAAATGAAACAGTGAGAATAACTGAAAGTCGTACTCGAAAAGGATGTGAAATATTTCTATTTCAAGACGTTACATAACACTGAACATCATTTAAACTTTTTTTTATGATATTAAGTTAAAAAATATGATACAAATGTATTTTATGCATAACGATACGTCCAAAGTTAAGTAAGCTTAGGTGTGAGAAAATTAAAACCGGAAGTGAACATCCCGTATTAGCCAATATTGGCCAATACGGCCTTTTTTCCGTATAAGCCCATGGGCCAATACGGCCTTTTCCGTATTGACCCTGTCCGAAAAGCAATATTAACTCTTTGATTTATATCGACAGGGCAACGTCATCAGTATTGCACATGCTGATTTATCCGTATTAGGGCTGATTTGCTCATATCATTTAATAAGAAGCCTTTTTGAACTCGTTCGCTGCGCTCAATCGACAAAAAGCTTCATATTGTGACTCGCAGCTGATATTTTACAATATCGATATACAGACAACCTGATAATCGGTACATATATCATATTGTAAGTATGAAAAGTAAACAAAAGATGACAATGTTTTCTACTCTGTACGTGACAATATGTAAAGTCAGATATCATTGCGTTCATTTATTATTGCGATTTTTGAAGAATGGACAAAAATGCGAGATTTATTATTGCAATATTTGGAAAATCTACATACAGATGAATGTAGTAGATATCAAAATGCGAGTCCTTATATTGCGATACTCACCAGTCGCATTATTTGCAAAATTTCTGCATTTACAGTAATTTGTTATTTATTCCAGCGTCACTGATGAATCTTTTGAAGACGAAACGCACGTCTGGCTTAAATTTTGTCAAGCCTGGTATCTATGGTGACTTTATTATGAACCGTATTGAACAATTTGTAACTGTAGTTACATGATATTTTTAAGTATTCTTTAAAGCCATGTCTTTGACACTGATTTTAAAGTTTAATATCCATTCATTTAGAAACCTTTCTTGCTCGTGGTAAACATTATCAATACGCGGATTCCATTAATTGTCAGCCTGTGTTAAGTTAACATTTCACGCTGTGTTACATTGAAAGACCTATTTACGGTATTTCGACCTCGTAATGTTATATAGATTTATTTGCACAATATAAATGTGCATCAGTGCAATCAGTCAAATGTCAACGCTTTGATTCATTCGGAATTAAGAAAACGAGCAAAACACGTGTTTTCCTTTTTGAAAGTGTTCTAAATCGTACCATCAAAATCAATGGCCATTCCATTGGGCCATTTCAAATTAGTGCTAGCAATGGTCGTTCTTCCAGTTCCATCGTAACCGGCCTTTTCTATCTTTGGTGTTGATCCCCAGTCTGACCAAAACACCTGTCTGAAAGGAACATACATACCAAAAAATATAATCATAACTTGCCTTAAATGAATTGACCGCAAATGTAAATCAATCGAAAAATAACTTGCTTGAAAGGAATTTATCGTACATGTCAATAAATTAAACAACTTGACTAAACGTAATTGACCGTAAATGTACAAGTCATCAAGTCTAGCAATAATTCTTAACTTTTTTCAAATCGAGTCAATACCGTAGCAGCTAGTGTCTTTGATGATTTTTTGGCTTGTCTGAAAGAAATGATCGTACATTTTGATGAATCTAATAAACATGTCTGAAATAAATTGATCGGACATGTTAATGAATTGAAGTAAGTGTTCCAAGTGGTAAAGTTTAAGCAAGCCCTTCGAAAGTCTAACGGACGCCCTCACAAGTTGGTTGACCGTTGACAGATGACCACTGATATGTTCCAATTATCGAAACCACGACCCTGTCCTTTTTTCCTCGATTGTGACATCACTGAATGAGACTAAAAAAACCGGATTTGTACTTGCATGAGCAACACGACGGGTGCCACATGCGGAGCAGGAACTTCATATTTTCCAGAGCACATGTTTTTCCCCGGTTTTTAGTGGGGTTCGTGTTGCTAAGTCTTAAGTTTTCTATGGAATTTTTGTGGACTTTTCATCTAATAAATCTTATAACTTACATGAAAGAAATTTATCGTATCAATAATTCTACAATAACATGTTGCATACTTCTTTACTGAGTTTCGCAATTGAATTTTTCCTTTAAAACATTGACCAACTGGTACAAAAACAAATACATTTTTTTTTTATTACAAATGAGATCACCTGCAACCAGATCTAAATGACGTAGATGAAAGCAACTTTTGTTCAGGGTTGCGTTCAATACCGTAGCAGCTAGGTTAACCGCTATGTCTTAGATATCTATCTATGTTGAACGATATGCTACGTAGCTAGGCTAATGCCTATCCAACTGATGACCTTAATAATAACCTATCCGACGCCATTTTGGATTCTCTAGATAGCATGCATTTTTTAGGCTATCTAAATCTTTTTAGCGGCTAGGCTACCTATACGTTCAGTAGCCAAAATCTACGTAGACGCTACCATATTGAACGCAACCCTGTTGTTAAGGTATATATAATCAAATAATCATGAAAGTATATAGACAATTACCATCCTAAAAAAAATTATAACGGTAAAAATTCATGCAGATCTGGACATATTTCCATTTGTCATTTGAAAAAAAAGAGAAAAGTAAACGCTGTAAATTATGGTTTATGTTTTTTTTTTTTGCTTAATCGAATTATGACTATTGAACAACAGTATACTACTTTATCTATGCCAATCACAAGTAAATATTAAACCTACTGGCTTCTAGGGTCAAGGACAACATCTCTTGGTTCATCCAGACCACTGTTAATGACGATCTTGAAATTCGTACCATCCAATCGCAGAGATGCAATCTGGTTGTTACCGGTATCAGCATAAAACAATATCCGGTTAAGAGGGTCAACTTCAATTTTTTCTAGATCAGAATCTGTAAAACAAAATTTGAAATAAATCCATTCTGTTTTATAGTAAATACTATTTTCCTTAAATTTTTTCTAGGCTTATATATATTGATTAATATTTGATTCCATTCAGATGAAAAGTTAACGTTTAAGTAAAAACAAAAAGAAATCAAATGAAGAGACGTATACAAATCACTTACATTACGCTTATTCAAATATTTAAAGAAATGTAAAAAGGAACAAAACTTACTACTATCGAGTTGTTTTAGTTCTCGAATATCTGTCCCACTGAAATGAACGCTAACAATTTGCAGTAGTCTGGGATCGACAAAATATATTCTGCCCTCTGTGGCCTCATAATCCATGGCCGTTGGTGTATAAAGTGTGTTGATTGGTATTTGCACATAACTCAATGTATGAAGGTTCATCCTGTAGATGGCACCACCTCTGTTTATATCCAGTACGAATATAATGTTATCTTCACTGCTGGCTACAAAATAAATGACGAATACTTAATTTGAAAAAAAAAAACATTTCTATATTTATTAGTTTACTAATTTACACTTTCGACCTACTAGTAACTCGTGCACAGACATATTACATGCAGTTTTTCGAAATTTTTTCATAAATAAAATGTATCCGAATAGATGTTCTCAAGATTTGTAAAACTCTAAGAATGTAAAGAGTTCTTGCTAAAAGTTTCAAGGTAAAACGTAATAAATGTTTTATTTGTGTAAAATTTTTTAGTATATATATTAATCAATTACATGACATTTTTTGGAACAAGGAAGGATACTTTAGTTTTTTTAGACTGCCAATTCAAAATCTGTTTAATTATTCCGCACGTACACACACACTGTTGCACAATAAGAAAGAAAAAAAAAAACTTTGACAACAGGCGTTTCTTGAATTCTATTCATCATACAAAATTATTGCTAAACATTTCTAACGTCAAAAGTAAAAATGGTTTAGAGCATAAAAGGATTTAAAAAGAAAGCTTAAATCGTCTATAGCAAGTTTTGACTAAGAGAGTAACAACTTAACTGAGTCAAAATAGCATTATGGTTGCTCAATTTTGAATGTTATGTGAAGTGTTTTGTAAACTGGTATTGGTCTATTCAAATATATTTGTCTTTTGGCCTTTGTGGCGTCTGACTTTATTCGATTTTAAGTATTTAGGTTGTCCTCTTTGTATATTCTCCCGTCAGTTTATATTCATACCCGATGAACACTCTATTCCGGAATCTTCTCCGTGTCTGCAGTCATGTATTCCCCATCCAGCGAACTGACATTGGTCTATGTTATTTTCAAATCCAGAACATGTGACATTATCCATCCAAATATGGGCAAAACTAGGTGCAGATCCAAACCCGTGATTTGGAACCGACACGGATCCCTCTCTAAAATTATATCGTGAATGCAACTGTTACGTGAATAATGATTTAGAAAATTAAAAATGTGTTTTATTCATGTAAATCATAGTGTGTGAGCTGAAATCGAAGAAGGCCATCTTTCTTTTTATAGAATTTCAAAAAAGTTATACTAGGCATATTGTTTTTATGACTAACAACTGACTTCATCGAACGAATCATTTACAGAAAAAAACAGCTTTTGGTTATACTATATAAAGACACGAATAAAATGACAAGAAGACGTCAAGATACCATTATTTGGTCTTCATCAATAGACAGATGTCTTGATTAAACTGTAAATGATTTTAAACTAGAGGCTCTTAAGAGCTTGTGTTGCTCACCTTGGTCTTTCGCAAATTCAACAAATGACACTCTCCAACTACGTAAGCGAGAATATAATTCATGACATAAATTTCTGTTATGTTTATCTTGTATTGCTGATTATTTAGTCTGCTTAGTTTATCTATATCTATATTTTTTGCTCAAAACACAACAGAAGGTAAAACATATCCCAAATTAAAGACAGTTTCGCCTATAAAGAGTGAAAGTCTACTAACTATATTCGCAAAATTTGACTTGTTATTCGATCTTGTCTTGCTAGTCAATTTTGCTTATTAAAGTTTCTATCTATCTATTATATTTTTTATCATATAAAGCACAACGCAAATAAAATGGTTAAAATCGTCATTAAAGGGCAATAACTCCAATAAGGATTCATCGGACAATTTCCACCATATTGTATTAGATCTTATCTTGCTGATAATTTTTTCCTATTTAAGTTTCTATTTATCTATAATAATGTTAAAGTTATAAGGCAAAACGCAAAACGCAAACAATTGGTAAAAATTCATCATCAAAGGGCCATACCTCTAATAAGGAGTCGACTGACGATTGCAACCATTAGACGTATTTCTAGAACATGTCTAACTAATCATTTTTGCATTTTAAAGTTTCTCTCTATCTTTTATAATATTTCTCAATATAAAAGGCACAAATGAAAAATAGAATGGTTAAATTTGTCATTTAAGGGCAATAACTCCTGTAAGAAATCGTCTGACAGTTTTGAGGAACATGGACAATAGGTAGAGCTCATCATTCCGAACATTTCACTCCTAGTCAGATTTCGTTTATTTATTACGGTTTTCAAAATAAAAGACAAAACTAGCATTTTACCCCTATATGTTCTGTTTTTAGCCATGACGGCCATATTGGTTGGCGGGCGGGATCACCAGACACATTTTTTTTAAACAAGATACCTGAATGATGATTGTGGCCAAGTAGTTTCAGAGGAGAAGATTTTTCTAAAAGTTAATAGACGACGACGACGGACAACTGACGCCAAGTAATGGGCCAGGTGAGCTGAAAACAATGACAGCTTATTCATCGGCGATATACCATATGGTCTTGATGGGGATCTTTCATTTCTATTTGTTTAACATTTCAGACCATTTTTTCTCCATTCTCTATTTATATTGACCATTTTTCACCGTTCTTCATTTATCTTGACCATTATTCTATATATATATTCTTTATATTCTGAACCCCAATATTATCTTCTCATATTCATTTATGTCTATTTTTCTCTATTTCTTTTTATGCCCTTTATTTTTCACATTTTATCGATTATTCTTTATTCTGTAAAACCCACCATACCTGCTGTATCCCAACATTCCACAGACAACAGCAGCATCCTCTGGTGTCCAGTAATCGTCACAAATTGTTCCCCATACATTACTATGAAACACTTCTGCTCTTCCTTCATATGGATTACTTCCTCCAACTAATCTGACATAAGTGCTGCTACTTCCGGGAACGGTTGGATTGGGTGCATTTGGTGCTGTTATAATTGATAAAATTTGGATTTTAGTACTTATAGTACTTAATGCATTCCATTATATAAGGACTTAAACACATTTACCATAGTTAATATATTGAATAAGGATTTGAACTATTTTTTCATTATAAGTTAATATATTTAACTGTATTTCTAGACACAAATAATTTCAGCCACGATTTACAATCAAAGTAATTTGCGATGTGAATTCGTAAAGGTATGTATTAAAAACTTGATATGAAAAAAGAAATATAACAAAAATACCGAACTCCAAGGAACATTCAAAACGGAAAGTCGCTTATCAGATGGCAAAATCAAAAGCTCAAACATATCAAACGAATGGAAAAGAGCTGTCTTATTCCTGACTTAGTAGAGGCATTTTCTCATATTTAAAATGGTTGATTAAACCCGGTTTTATAAAAAACCTTTTTAAATTAAAAAAACTTACAATCCATATGACAGAGTTTGTTGTTACAGTTGTTGCTAGAACAGCATCGGTTACATTCAGCCATTGTCTGTCTCTTCCTATTAGAATCTATTGATCTAGCATTCTCGTGTCTTTTCCCTACTACTGGGATAGTTCCACCAGATAGTGCTGCACATGTCTGGCAAAAAATAAATACAGGAGAATCAATAACCTGCTTTTTTAAATATTGTATGGGCCATTTTACAACAAGTTATCTGACCCTGGTGATGCGTAATTTTTAATGTTGACACGTTGATATAGCTGATTATTAGTCCAAATACCATTGAGTGAACACATTAAGCATTAAAAAAATCCTCGTATCTGGCATGCTTTTTAATCAATAAGACTTACCAGAACTTTTTTACATCCCAAGTTATAGGTAGTTTGTCCTGGAGCTCCAGCAGAATTCACTTCGGCATAACAATACTGCAACGAAAAAGTCATATTTTCGTATTATAATCCAAGGAACTTCATTATTGCACATTTTAGGAAATAAAGAGAATAATTCAAATAATTTGAAACAATATTTCTTCAAAATGGTTAGATACAAACTATTTATAATTAGTACATTAATTCCAAATAAGAGGACTTACAAACTGTCAAAACACTTACTTTAGACTGAGGGAAATGATAGCATATCAGAAAAAAAAGTAGAGTAACAGTTTTTTTTTAAATTGTGTCTTTTATAAAAAGCAACTTGTAAACCTGTGTATAATTTATTTGAATATCAAGATTAAAAACACTTTAAATATAAATTCTGCATTATTTTGACTTTTAATATTGGTATTTAATATGCGTAAGTACACATGGTAAATGTTTCATCTAATGCATTTTTTTGAAATTATAAGGATGTTGAATCCGGCAACGCATGGAGAGGACACCACTTATGTTGTAATAAATTGTATCCGATCCCCTTTCTATTCTTATGAATGAATTTATGTTAAAATTATAGCCAAAATCCAGAAGAAATTTCAACAGAATGTTCATACACGATCGCGATGCAAAGCAATGAATAAAACACGAAACAAATGGGAGTTGAATGGTGTATATTTTAACTTTTGTTAGTTCCTCTCTCTCTCTCTCTCAAAACCAGGAAGCGTCAGGATAGAAAAAAGTCCCCAATCCTCTATCACTGTATAATATGTTCATAAAGTAATCTTTTAATGTTACGGTTAATCTTTTAACAAGTCTTAGGTTATATATTGCAGCTTAACACATATATTGGTTTCCTTAAGATCGTGTCAAATGAGAGCAAAAGTGAAAATAAATAAAATATCTTGTTGACATTATCCTAACAATGTGTCAATGTTAGAACTATTTATTAGTAACTTTGAAATCTTATGAAAGAAGGAACACGCGCGAGGGTTACACTATTCCACATAAATTATCAAATTCATTAGATATTTAATCTCTCGCCGATGTTTTCCAATGCAAACGTATAATACCCCTACATTTTGTCTGGTATAAAAATATTCGGAATTGTAATCTATAAATAGATGTTTGATATCAATGCTGAGAGAAAAACGTTTAATAGCAATGCCGAGAGAAAAACATGATTTCTTCCATATCCAAATAATCTTTAATTTTTTTAATTTTTGTCCATATTTCATACAATTTAAATGAATGTGGAACTGGAATCAATCTTTGTGAAATAACACCTAAAATGCCCTGGACACATTGTAATGAAAATGATTGTGAAGGATCAAGAAGTAGATATACTTTGCGTTGCTGTGGAAATATGCACAAAGCGGAATGTTACAAAGTCTGTGATATAACGGATGAAGATTTATTTATAAGAGAACCCTGCGCACCACGTTGTGTTAATGGTTTCCTTGATTCTGGAAAAATGTAAATGCCATACGGGATATTCTGGTAACTGTTGTGGTAAAAAGTAAAATCACACAAATACCCTCATAACTTCAAATAAGGAAACACAAGATCATACATGTATGCACGTTGGTTATATGTATAGAACCGTAAGATACCATAATTGACCAATCAAAAGATTTGAGAAAGTAATGGTTTAGACTAAGGCACACGTTTCGAAAGTCAAGTACCATATTGGGTCATCAGAAAAATAACATTTTGCATCCACGGTGTCTGATTAATGTGTACATGTACATGATGTATATACAGTGAATTTAATTTAAAAACTAATTAGTGAATAAAACTGTAAAACACTTATTGTAGAGTAATACAAAAAATACACAATTTATTATGTTTATTACACATTTTGAAAGTAAAGAAATGGTTCAACATGTTGACCCTCATAACTTCAAATAAGGAAACACAAGATCATACATGTATGCACGTTGGTTATATGTATAGAACCGCAAATTCGGGTCCGGTCAGAATGAACATACTAGAAAGTAATTCTTAATAAATTGATAGTTCCTATGCATATTTGCCCTGTTGTTCAGTTCAGAGGTACCTGTTTTATACTACCATACTTCCGGGAACCAATGCGCTCTGATATGCATATAAAGGAATGTTGAAATTTTCAACACAATTCAGGATAAGGTAAAGTTTGACTGTCACTCTACTTGAACTTAAGACAAAATAGATATAAATGCTTGAAATAGCAGAATTTAACATAAAAAGCAATGGGCTATGAAAAAGGTGTTTTATTCCATATAATAGTATATAGAAAGTCTATTGTGTGTACTTCGCCTACACATAGAGTGTTGACCAGTTCCAAGTTGTATCATGTTACAAAATTATATTTGATTAATGACAATATATATATTTTTTCTAACTACATAATGTTTGAGAAAATAGTAGATGCTAGTCAAGATTGCATGTGTCAAAATATTGGTTGCCTCTAAAATTATGCTTCAAAATGCTTTTCTGGAACCTCCAAATCTTAAGATTTAAAAGCCAGGGATGATAAAAACATTAAAAAGTCAGAAGATATGTGACCCAAAAGGGAAAACTATAAAATAAAATTCAATACGCTTTCAGTAATAAAGTAGAACTGTTACTTTTATAACTAGTGAGTTGCGCCAAATAAAAAAAAACCATCTAAATACGCTCTGCATTATTCTGACTTATAATCTTGGTATTTAGTACATAATTGTTTTATTTACTGATACGTTTAATCCCAACCATCATGTGGAGGAGGTATCAAATGTTGTTTTACATTCATATCCAAACTCAAGAACAACCACACGCAACAGTATTTTCAAATCACAATGCATAATATAAAACAAAAGGATAGGGAGGGTATATATCGTAGTAACAGCTGTACTTTGTAAGTTCTAAATTCACAATAAAGGAATTGTTGTCAGTTCTAAGTTTAAAGTGTTTTTAAGTTTAAACATAAAGGAAAATAGATCTTATTTTTGCCGTCCACACTGAATTAGGAACTCTCTCTCTCTCTCTCTCTCTCTCTCTCTCTCTCTCTCTCTCTCTCTCACACACACACACACAATGATTACGAAAAAACTTTTAAAAAATCCGGGGGATGACGTATCTTTTGTTGTTTATCAAGTATCTAAACCCCTTTGATATTATTGTAACCACACTCGGGATAAATTTTCAATAGTATTTTCAAACACAATACAAAATATAAACAAAACAAATGTAAAGGGATAGGGAGCGGATATTTCGTTAAAATATAAGTACTTTGTTAGTTTAAAATTTAAAATAAAGGAATGTTCGTTAATTCTTAGTTTAAACATAAAGGAATATAGATCTGAGGTTTAGCATGCATATGGTATACTCTCTCTCTCTCTCTCTCTCTCTCTCTCTCAATGATTACAAAACCCCTAAGATAACCAAGACATTTCAGGATAAAAAAGATTGGGGGGAATCTTCTATCACGGTATAATTTATTCAGCGTGTAATCTCTTTAAAGTTACGGTTAATATTTTACAAGTCTTATACTACATATTGCAGATTAACGCATAAATGGGTTTCCATAAAATAGTATCAAATGAGAGCAAAAGTAAAAATAAATAAAATACCCTCTTCACATTATATTAACAATGTGTCAGTGTTATAACTATTTGTTGGCAACTTTGAAATCTAATGAGAGAAAAAGTAAACACGTGAAATTAAAATAATAATACACATAAATTAAGAAACAGAATAGGCTTTTAATATCTCGCACTGCTCTAATACAAATACACATCAACCCTCAGTTTTAAAGATTCGATAGAAACTGAAGTATCAGAATTGTATGTGTATAACTAGATATTCGACATAAATCAATAGTAAGAGAAACAAGTTTTTTTTTATTTTCAAAATACATGTAAAATTGTTATAAATGCTATCAATGTTTCTTATACCTTGAATGAATGTGGTAGTGAAATTAATCTTTGTGAAATCACAATTATAATGCCATTGGTGAAATGTTATGGGCACAACTGTGAATCTTTAAGAAAGAGATACAATTTGCGGTGTTGCGAAAATATTCACAAAACCGAATGTTACAAAGTCTGCAATGTAACAGATGAAGACTTAATTATAAGGGGGCCTTGTACACCACAATGGTTAAATGGTTTGATTGACTCTGGAATATGTAATTGCAACAAAGGGTATTTTGGTAACTGCTGTGGTAAGATATTATCCAATCACAAAAGTAGAGAAAATAATCGTTTTGACAAAGGTACAAGTGTTAAAAGTCTATTATCATTATGGGTCGATAGAAAATACTATTTTGAAACCATAGTGGTTCATTAATATGCATATCAGAAAATATGAAGTCAGTGACTATAGTTTCAACATTAGTTTGTGATTATTTCTGTAAAAACGTTCATGAAGTGTTACACAAAGAATACACCATTAATTAAGAATTAAAGAAAGAAGTAAATTGTATGTGCTTTTCATATAAATAATGTGTTGACCAGTTCCAAGGTTCTATCCTGTTACAAAATTACATTTAAATAATGACAATATATTTTTTTTCAAACTACATTATGATTGAGGGAACTAATAGAAGCTTATAGAGATTACATGTGTCAAAATCTGTTTTGCCCTAAAATGCTTTCCTGGAACATCCATACCTAAACATTTGAAAGCCAGGGATATTAAAAAAAAAAAACTAAACACGCCAGAAGCCATATGAACCAAACGGGACAAATATAAAATAAAAATCAATATGGTGATGATTATAAAGTCACACTGTTACACTTATAACTAGTAAGTTGTGCCAAATCAAGAGAGAATAAAATTAAATGTGCGTTGCATTATTTTGACTTATCGATGAAGAGGTTATTTATAATATTGGTATTTACTAGATACTTACATGTTAAATCAAAATCCTCCGGGGAATGACGTATCTTTTGTTGTTTATCAAGTATCTAAACCCCTTTGATATTCTTGTAACCACACTCGGGACAAATTTTCAATAGTATTTTCAAACACGATCCAAAATATAAACAAAACAAATGTAAAGGGATAGGGAGCGGGTATTTCGTTATAAT